CTCAGTCCTGACCCACAGCCCCCGGCTATTCCAGCCCTGGGCTCTGCACACCCAGCTCTGCCGGTGCCCCTCAGTCCTGACCCACAGCCCCCGGCTATTCCAGCCCTGGGCTCTGCACACCCAGCTCTGCCGGTGCCCCTCAGTCCTGACCCCCAGCCCTCGGCTATTCCAGCGCTGGGCTCTGCACACCCAGCTCTGCCGGTGCCCCTCAGTCCTGACCCCCAGCCCTCGGCTATTCCAGCGCTGGGCTCTCCACACCCAGCTCTGCCGGTGCCCCTCAGTCCTGACCCACAGCCCCCTGCTTCCCCAGCCCTGGGCTCCGCACACCCAGCTCTGCTGGCCCCTCTGCAGCCCCAAGTGCTATCTCAGTCCTGCCCCACCAACACATTCACACACGTCCCTCTGCCAGCACACCTGCAGAACCCTGTTATTCCAGTCAGTTCTGCCAAAGCTGCTTTGGCCTGATTTACAGCATCCCTCGTTCCAGGCTGAGACCTCTCAACCACAGCTCCCATGTAAACGACCAGGCACCCGTGGCGAATCTGCTTCCGACTGCTTGCAGTAAGCAGGTCGATTTGAACCCGAGCCCTTCTCCCCTACTAACCCCTTACCCCCACTTCAACTGGGAAGCAGCCCCTCGGGACTCAGCAAACCCTCCTGGTGGGATGGACAAGGCACGGGGTAAAGCACATGACTAAATAGACAAACGTATCATCTGCCCCCCGAGAGCTCTGGCTTTACAGGTCATGGCTGACTGACCTCCTGGATTTTCTGGCTGCGCTCAAAGATGGCCTGGGCATCTCTCTCCTTCTCGGTGTCCAGCTCATACACAGCCGTCGCTCCCATGTCCTCCGGACCTACAGGTTTCTGAAATGCAAGAAGCACATTTCCCCAGTCACAGTCAAGAGAAGACTCCCACGGTGCAGAGAGCTGCTCAGATCCTGCAATCAGGAGCACAGGATAAATGCACAGTGCTGGAGGAATGGGGACAGTCGCTTTCCGCTGATACCAGCGGGTTGCTTGTTGCACTTCACTCTGGTACCCTGACAATGAACCTAGCCAGGTTGGTGTCGCTTTGCCCATTTCACTTCCTGGTTCTCTAACACCTCGGGCCTTCTATCACACTTCGCACTCATTCATGGATTTTATTCCCGAAGACAGGGAAGCATTTACCCTTATTTTGCAGGGAGTTGCCCAAGGAGGCCGATGGCAGAGCTAGGAATTGAACCTAGATTTCTAAATTCAGTGCCCTAACCACTAGACCGTGCTTCCTACAAAGGCTGTTGTGTCTGGATTTCTAACCCAGCTGTGGGAGGTTTACCATTTAATTTAGTTAATACAGCTATTCGGTTTAGATTGTTTTTTCAATGTTGTGAAAACATTTCTATTAATCCTGGGCTTCATCAACCCTTTATCAACAGTCCCACCGTGCAGAGATTTAAGTACAATTATATCCAGGTGGGAGCGTCACGGCCTCGGATTACAAATAAACTGAGCTCTGGAGTTTCCAGCATAAAAGCGACATTCTTCTCCAGCACCTCTTCCTTTCTGCTGGGGGGTGGGGGTGGGGGGTGAAACTGACAGCAGCAGCCCTTTCCCTGACAGCCAAGCGGTGAATAATAATCGCAGCCCTGAGCTCGTCACAAGGCACCGTACAAACATGAACGAATAGATCCTGGCAACTCCTGTGGGAGGCAGCTCAGCGCGATCCCTGTTTTACAGAGGAGGAAACGGGGGCACAGAGAGGGGAAGTGAGCGGGAATGCGTGTCAAAGCCAAGATCCGTACCGCTTCTTGCCCTGAAGAAGAGCTCCGTGTAGCTCGAAGGCCTGTCACTTTCACCAATGGAAGCTGGTCCAATGAAAGCCATTACTTCACCCTCCTCGTCTCTCTAATATCCTGGGACCAACGCAGCTACCACAACACGGCAAGCATTAAAAAAGTCTGTTTGCATTACTAACACCTCCTCAGATTAGTTAAACTAGATCCAATTGATTTCCCATACGTGCAGGCTGTTCCTTTTAGACTTTTGTTCAGCTCGGGGCAGTTAAACTAGATAGGGCAGTGGCTGCTTCTCCTGCACTAAACCATGCTGTTTGGATTGCCAATACTAGAGAAAAGTATATGTTACTAGCAAAAAGGCCTTTTGTGACGTTTATTTGGGAAGACAAAATTTCTACGCCAATAAGGATTTGTAGACACACACACACCTCTCTTTTTGTAATTGCATGGTTAGGGCATTGGACTGAGCCGCAAGACTCCTGGGTTCTGTTTCCCACTCTGCCCCTGACTTGCTGTGTGACCCTAGGAAAGTTATTTCTCCTCTCTGTGCCTCAGTTTCACTATCAGCAGAATGGGGATAAAGTTAATGACCTCCTTGTAAAGTTATTTGAGTTCCTTGTTCCAGTGGTTGGGGTGTTAGCCTAGGACATTGAAAACCTGGCTTCAATTCCCTGCTCCACCACAGACTTCCTGTGTGACCATGGGCAAGTCACTTAGCCACCTTGTGCCTCAGCTCATACAATGGGGATAATAGCACTGCTCTTCCTCATGGGAGTGTTGTAAGCACAGATCCATTAAAGACTGGGAGGCACTCAGATACTACAGTGATAGACGTTCGAGGGAGAGAAAAGCACCAGATGGACACTAAAGAGAGTTTCAAAAACAAAACCTGAGCCTTGGGCCCAATCATAAAACCAACCATACACAGTCTCTGGCCTCTGTTATGCAGCCTAAGTGATCTAATTGTCCCTTCTGGCCCCTTTTAAAGCCACGTGCTGCACGGTGCTTACCGCCGATCTCGTTGATTTGTAAGCGACCCCGATTCCTTGCGACTTCCCCTCATCATCACTGCTGCTTGCCCCATACGAGGTCTTCTCTTTACCACTTTTCCTGGTCTGAAAGACGGGAGGGCAAATATCTGAAGAACCGAGAAAGATCCACCACCAGCAAACTGAGCACAACACCCGGACACGTTCCCCATCACATGTTGGCAAGAGATAGAACTGCAGCCCAGGAAGGCAAACCAGTGGAGTTGTCGAAATCAGGGCCCATATAGACACAGCACTGGTTTAATGCAGTTACCTCTGGGCTGGAAGGAGGACGGAGCAAAACACCTTTGGTTCTCCCAGACCAAGAGAGGGGCACCACAAAGTTAAATTCTTGCATTAAGAGAGCCAAGTGACAGGTTTAATTTGGATCTGTGGGCCTGCAATGTTAGAACCATTCATTTCCCTTAATCTACAGCGCATCTCCAATGGGTAACAATAGGAGGTCGGAGAAAAGATCAAGCGAGCCATTGCCAATAACTAAAGCTATACGTACATTACAGACGTCTGCCACCATGCTCCTGTCAATCAAGGGTGTGATCCCTGACCCTTATAGCAATGCCGGCAGAGGCCCCTAATGTAGATGCTGCTATACAGGCCAAACTGCATTGGTGCTGGTATAAGTTTTTTCAGTTGGAGTGAGGTGGGGGTGAAATAAGCTATGCTGGTAAAAGAGCGAGCTGTGTTAATATAAACCGCATCTAACTAGAAGCCCTTTGCTGATACCAGTAGAGTTATACTGGCAAAGCACTACCGGTGTAATCCTGGCCTAAATGTTCAGGTACTAAAGTTCCTGTGGCATACTGCATCACTCTGGGTAAAAGTCACACAGGGCACTTTTAGATCTCCCAGTTACTGCCCCTTGTTGGCCATTTTCACATGCATATACCTAACCTATGCATTTGCACACCTAGATTTGTAAAACTGGGTCCTTTAGGTGTCCTTATTAGGTTTCAAAAGATATTACGCCCTTGAGAGGAGAGGGAAAGTTCACTTCTCTCACAGTGGGGCATTGGCCAAGGAGGCCTGCAGACCCCGGAAATCAATTCTGCATGCGTTTACTGTCTGTTCACGTTTGAAAAGATTTTCCCACAACCAGACGGGCTTGAAACATAGGGTGGGTTTTTTTTACGTGAGAATCTGAATTCTGCATAATCTGAATCTGTCATGGGCTCAGATAAATCTTATAAACTGGCTGGATCCACTCCAAAGGAGTGTCTGGCACTGCCCTGGCTAGGCGAGGATGCAGTCTCGTGGTGCTGGTGCACAGAACCTTCTGCAGATCTCCCCCAAGGATTTCCTGGGTCCGAACATGGGACCCATCCCGCCCCGCGCTCAACAGAGAGGTCTGTTACGCGTGGAGTGGACAATGCGTGGAGCTGGGCATCGCTGCGATGGGCTCGGTCACCTTCTGGATCATGGGGTTGTGCGCTTCCCGCCGCCTCTCCTTCCTGACCACCGTGCTCCCCTCATCGCTGCTGCTGCCTGCAGAGCAAAAGAGACCATCAACCGGAGGGGCAGGAGTAGCCAGGCCAGGTCAGGTCTTCAGCCCCACGGTGCCCCATTCCCTCACCCCAAGGAACGCTCCCCACATGCCAGGCCCTGGGCACAGGGCTCTTGGGGGCCACTCAGCCTGCATGAGGGGCCGGGCACCAGGCTGCAGGGGGACCCGGGCCCCTCTCGGGGTCAGGCTGGCTCAACTCCCATCATGGGGTTACGCACAACGCGGGGCCCCCCCAAGGCCCCTCCAGTCTGTCAGGGCTCCCCCCACTTGCTAGGATAGTGGCACGGTCCAGACCCCTTCCCCCCATGATATTCGGACCACTCAGAAACCCTCAACCCCCGTCCCCAGTGATAATGGGACAGTCCAGAAATCCTCCCCACTGCTAATGGGACAACCTCTCCCCCCGTCCTATTGGGCCTGCCCAGAAACCTTCTCCGAAGATAATGGAACAGACCAACCCCCCATGGTATTGGGACAGCCCAGCGCCCACCCCCGCGGTACAAATGGTATGGCCCGGAATCCTCAGTGATAATAGCACAGCAGGAAACACCCCCCCCCCCGCGCGCCGGACAATGGCACGGTCCGGAGCGGGCCCGAGCCCCCTCCCCCATCCTCACCCTGCTCCTGGTCGCTGCCCGGGCGTTTGCGCCGCCCCCTGCCGGCCGCCGGGCCCCGCTTCTTGAACAGGAAGCTGCAGACCGGGGTCTCCTCCGCCATCTTCCGCCGTCAACGAGACGGGCCGGGCCGGGGAGCGGAGAGAGGGACCCACCGGCGCCAACGAGATGGGCCGGGCTGGAGGAAAGGGAGCGGCCGGCAGCAGCGCCGCGCGGTGCCCCCTAGCGGCGGGGAGGAGGAATCGCAACCACTGCCTCCCGCTCGCCGTGTCTGGGAGCAGTGCCGGGAGGGGGAGCGGCCCCCCGGGGAGGGGGCAGCAGGGGCCCCGGGGAGCTCCCCAGGATGGGAGGGGGAAGCAGGGGCCCCGGGGAGGGGCTCCCCAGGATGGGAGGGGGCAGCAGGAGCTCCCCAGGATGGGAGGGGGGCAGCAGGGGCCCCTGGGAGGG